TTTATGCATATTTAATAGATCCAGAAATGTTTCACGCAGTGAATGGTAAGAATGTGGGATGAAGCCCACCCGTCTGGTTGCATTGCTGCCTCATGGTTGCAGGAACTTCTCCCCTCAAACCACAAACGACGGCAACCAGCGGCCCAGCCGTGTCCGGGAATAAGAAGTTATACAGATATTAAATATCAATCGCGCTGTGAATGGTATAGAAATTAAGGGTATAGCTGAGCATTTTGTAATAATTGTTGACTTTTTATTTTATAAAAACAGTTTATGAAAATTTTGATCATCCCATCTCCAATTTCAGCTCATATGAGGTAGGGAAGAAAACAATAGAGAAAGTGAGCGAAGTTATATTCTTCCCAAATTTGCAGCAAACTGCACACCAGTATGGCCAACCTGTATCACATGCCAGAAGTGTAAATTCGTAAATTTCGTTCCGGCTGCAATCCGGAAGCAAACGGGAAAAGAATGGTGAAAACCGTTGACGATCCATTGCTTCTCCCACACAGAATCAACACGCTTAGGCTGTAGCAGTAAGGAATATATATGGTAAAAGACATTACCTCGGAAGTCGGAGTACGAAAGGTTAGTCCAAAAGTAGCCGCTTTAAAGGAGCGTGGTTTTAGAGCAACTATACGAATCATCGTTAGAGCGAGTGTAGCAGGAGCCAAATTTAGCATCTAACAGGATTTCAGGACTGGTGTCATCAAATATTGATAGCATGAAAAAAGCACGAAAAGCAATGGACTAAGAAAAATAAGAACTAAGTATACTTTTCTTAATATTTCAGGCTGATGCATAAATTAAGGCGAAGCAAAACACATATTTTGTAGAACATCAATTGAAATAACAGAGTTAGTAGTTGGCTTTAAAGAAAGCTGCGCAAGTAGTTGAGACTTTAAAAGAGGTCATGTGTGAATGGTGAGGTATAATAAACTTTCAAGACTTTTTTTTTTTTTAATTCTATGTCCGTTTGTTTGATGATTTAGTATTCTGGTGGTGAAAATTCACCTAAAATACCATAAGCCTTATTGCTACTGGATTGACCTACAAAAGTTATTTGGAGCCCACACAATGTGTTACAAGATCTCTAAGGTTAAAAAAAAATGAAGAAAACAGTAAAGAATTGCTAATTCTTAAACGTGTAACTACCATGTATGACAGAAACTTGTAGCAAGAAGTTTAAGTAATATGTTAATTAGTGAAATAAACATTTGTCTTTTCAAACAAAAAATTATTTTACATTAATAACTAGGAAGGATATTGTATTGTGTATTTGTAAAGTTAACTTGTAGTTAAACAGTTGACAACTTTTAATTAATTATAACAGTAACTTTAAAAATTATCCCTATATTTATTAATTTCATTACTTGAGTAACATTTTAATTTGTATTCCGGCAACCTAGTACCCTTACTGACCATGGTTGTTGTTAGTTGCAAGTTTTTAGTTTGGATGCCACTCAATTTTTAAATGTATAAATCTACAGTGTTCTATGTCTATGACACAAATGCTGTTGCCTAATTTATCAGAACAAAAAGAGGTTTCTCTTGAAGTATCCTTCCTATAATGAAATACAGTTATATTCATTAATGACTCCTTTAAATATTTCTCACGGCATTTCTTAAAGAGGTCTTTTACACTAAATCCTTGGGAGGACATAAGCTTCTGTAACCCGATTAGTATCTAGGTTTCTAGCTTTAATGTAATCCCCAAAAGTTGGCAATGTGCTACTGCTGATAAAAACCGAAAATTGCCTTTTTATTCCTACTTCGGCTGCTACTCTATGCTAATGGATATTGTTCCACGGCATATTAAATACATACGTTTTTAATTCTGGTAGTTTTCCTTATGGGGCATTTTAGTAGTTTCCATACATGTTTATCCATAAATCATCGAAAAACTCCTGACACCGGATTTTATTTTACTGCCTTGTGTTCTACGTGCAAAATAGCTGCAGTACCTTCAAATATAAAGATAAAAATGTCAAATTTAACTGTCTTCAAACTTCACCATGGAATGTGTTCTTCACAATTTCGCAAAATATACTCACAGTTAGTACGCAGTATATTTTTTATTTGTTGTTGCTGTTATTGTTGACTAATGCTCCCTTGTCTCACCTATAGTCAACAACCCACGCCCACGAAATTCCTCGTGGCAAGGAGCGTAAGTTTTACGCCTGCCGTTGGCAACAGCCTTGAGCACCTTACAGGCGACAATGTGACTTAGCTCAGCTCCGTCCCTAATTTTGATGCAGAGCGCCTGAGGAGATAGGTCCCAGGTGCTTCCACCACCTCTATCCCTACCAGCAACCTCTCGAGAGGACTTTCGTCTCGACGCATATTTAGAATGCCCCTATGCCGCACGGACATAATACATTTACAAATAGTCATGCTTTCTCCGGAATTCAAGCCCGGACCCTTCGTCACGACATTCAGCAACTCTAAACTCTTTACCGGTTGTGTGGCTTTATATTTGTATTTTCGTGAAATCCTTTTTATAAAGAAAATATCACTTATATTTTTACCTTGTTAAAGACTCTTTTAGAGAGATAAAGAATTTCAAAAGATCTCTTACACTACAAATTAAGAAAGGTAACTATCAAATACCAATGTTTATGGAGCATGAATTTATTTAAATGTGGTTTATTATTATCATTAAAATGTCATAGTGACATAAAGTGCTGTTTATGGGTTCTGATGAAGAGGAATGATACACTCGTGGACTATTTAAGAAATATACTGAATATATGCATAACCTTGGCCTCTACATATTTATCTCCAACGTTTAGGGCTCCATAAAGTGCCACCAATTGATGTTTGAACTATACACTAATTTCTGGAAATCTAATAAACTGGTATAACTTACGCTAAATGCGTGTTTCTATTTAAAAGTACCTAAAATATAAATATAAACAGAAGGTATAGTACAAATGGGAAAATGAATCATAATTAGCTCATTGAACTGCATTAGATGGCCTAAGTTAATGGCACTTCATATTCTGTAAGTATTTTGTTGCATTTATTATCATTCAGAATTTAGGCTTTTAGTTATCTATGGCATTTTTCAAATTTAGCAGTATTGAGAAATATATCTTTTTAATCAAATATTGCTTTAAATCCTCTTTTATTAAGATGATAACTTACTTAAAGTACACAAAATTCAATTCAACAGCAATATCGCAAAATATTTAAAAACAGTATATCTTTAGTATTTCCGATAGACAGTCTCGTGTGCTGGGATAATTTTTTTTTTTTTTTTTTTTTTTTTTTTTTTTTTTTCGTACAGTGTTGCTATTGCTCGCTTTGAAACAGTTGAGTTTGTTAATCAAAAATTCCTTAACGTTTTACCAAACATGATACAGATAATGAAACAAATTCCAGAATTTAAATTCGGGCTTCCAGGTGCCCGTTTTCGGGTGGAGGACTACGCTATTTAAAATTTGATGGCTCTAGGTACCGTTAGTTTCCCCAATGCGAGAAATATACATTCATGCATGCAGATTCTACATTATTTAGTTTCTTCAAATATAATGCAGAGCGATAATATATGGTGGCAACAATATGAAAAGTGATTCAGCGTTTTTAGTGATTCAACGCAAAATGCCGTTTCGAGAATAATAGCCCTTCTGGGCTAGTATATTCGATGTATGTCACTAGTAATAATTAATAAATTTAACTAATAATGTAAGCATTTCAAGTGAAACATTAAAATTATTTCCTATATAACATGCTTCAGTATTTATGTTGGGAGAAGTAATATGTTTTATGTGGTATTTTATACTGTTCTTAATTTAAGATCATCCATTATTTAGTTTAGTTCATGAATAAATTAAAGCAGAAAAAGCTTTATTGTTTTTTACGTACAAGAGTAAATAAGATAATATATTACATCTAATAACATCCTAAGAATGGAAATTAACAATTTTCGGATACTCTTATTTAGATCATGCAATCTCGGGAACCTTTGAGGACAGTTCTCCATCCAATCCAACCATTTATGGGGCCGAATTTCAAAGGTCGATAGCTAAGTTGCTTTCCCACCGAACAACTAAGGGATGATGTATTTCACTTTCATTATTAATACTACACTGGGAATTATTAATACTACACTGGGAATTATTAATACTACACTATACATTATTAATACTACACTTTTATTATTAATACTACACTGTATTTACACTGGGAGCCAACTGAACTGACTACTTACGGTACCAAAATGACTGGTAAAATCATGTGAAAATAAAACAAATACACATATAAATGAAAACACAGCTGCTAAAATCTAATAATATAAATACTAGAACCAATGAGTACATACATGCTAAAATTCATAAAAATTTAATTATACTGGTCATTCTTTAAAATCAAAGTCTACGTGACCTACAATAAATTTAATTTCTCTCTTTAAAGAGGGACAGATATCAAATGATCATGTTTCCAAACCATACTTCTGATTAGAAACCACACAGTTAACACATTTCCTATCTTTATCTTTATTCTTACAAATAGTCGCAAGAAGATTCCCAGCCCATTCAGCACAATGGACTTGATCTTATGAAAATCTTTTTTGCTTGTAATTTTGTGTTAGATGTGCTTACTTATTTTTAATTTAGTATTTTTGTTTGTTGTTTGCGGGCGGCTGGGTTGCTGGCTTCCCTCGTTTGTGGAGAGACGAGGCACCTTCTTTTGAGCTATGGGGACACTCATGTCCAGGTGGGCTGAAGAGAGCCTCCAATTCTTACACATTTTTACCAAAATGACTGGAGAGGGCCTTCGGATACGCTTTAGTATTGTTGCAATACTATCACCTCTTAAGTTACACGTGGTTTGTTTCTCTTTCAGAAAAATAAAAGCGGGCGATGTTATTATTACTTCTTCATGAGTTATTTAAAATTCTTATTTGTAAGTACTTATTCGAACATACTATATGATAAAACACTGCATAATGAAAATCAAATTCGCAAATTAATATTAGAGAAAGAATTCTAGCTTACCTTCAATTCCTTCAAAAGCGTTAGGATGAATGAAATGAATGTGGTTGTTTTCCAGATCCAAAGAGTTCAGCGTCTTTAAATTTTTAAAAGCTCTTTCAGGAAGCTCTTTCAGTTGGTTGTCAGAAAGCTCCAACGCATCTATGTTTTCTCCCATCCCTTCAAACTCGTCTGCTATGATAGCTGTTATATTATTGTTATGCAGTTGAAGCTTCTGCAGCACAGTCAAATTTTTAAGAGGCCTAGAAGGCACTGAAGACAGGTGATTGTCACCAAAGTTTATGTGCGTTAAATTACCTCCTGTACCCTCGAAGGCTAAATTGTCAATAAATTTTATTTTATTGCCGAATAGATTTAGCCTTACGAGGGAAATTAGTCCTCGAAAAGCCTCAGCGTGCAAGATCTCAATTTTATTATAGTTAAGATTCAATGATGCTAAATTGGAAAGATTTTCCAATGCTGTTGTTGGAACACGATCTAAGCTGTTCTGTGCGAGATCCAAAGTTTCAAGGTACTCCGCTATTCCCGAGAAAGCTTCATCGTCAATTGAAGATAGACTGGAATTATGAACAATAAAGTGAGTCACATGCATGTCTCCCAGAATATCGCGAGGAATGTTATTTAATTTCAAGTTGCGTAACTTCAGATACCAGACATTCTCTTTGGTGCCCGTCACTGCTTTTATAGATTGACGTAGATCATCCAGTCCAGCCCTATCACAACTGAGATCCAGGCCACGTGTTTTTATTACGCAGGAGCATGTTTTAGAAGGTGGTAATAACGGGCAACTTATAGCTTCTGTTCTTACTGCATATGTCATCAAAAGCACTAGCTGCCAAACGTGAAGGCGATGCATAATTACTCTTTATCATTTACTGAATCATGGCTCAGAATCTGCAAAGAAAAGAAAGAATATGTTAGAGTGTGCTCTGGCATTCTTCATAGATACATTTTACTTTGCGTTTTGTATTAAATCATAACATGTTCATGCATTTATTGAAATCAAATAAATTTCTAGCTAGGTTTTTAAGAATTCATGAACAGTTAACGAATTTTATTAAGCATAAATTAATTTATTACAATATGAACTCATGCAATTTTTGGTAATGATTTGCATTTAATTAAGTGGGAAGATACTCAGAATTAGCTCCTCCATGGATACGATACGAGAACCCTGTGGTTGCTCCAATCAGATATTTCTGCAGAAAATATTACAGCAATACAGAAAAATGTTGACAAGCTTCCGTCTTGTTACTCTAGAAGTTTATGAGGCTGCATATGCATATTGTCAAGCTGTAGTGATTACGTGAATTCGGCATGAAAATGCCAATGTTTATTCCCTATTTTTCACCGCTGTAGCGTTCTATAAATTACTTTCTTTGTGCTGATTTTTTAAAAATTAAGATTTTAGTTTTATTATCGGGAATATTTCATATGTCAGAAAAAATACATCGGATCTAAGTATTTTAACTTTGTCAAATCACCCTAAAAACGTCAATTTATTTTACGAATAACATTTAATTAGACAAATTAATTTTTGTATTTGTTTCCGTGTAGCCGCCCAGAGGGTGCAGAGGATAGGGGAGTCTACTGCGATACCGAAAGGCCGAAGTTTGAATCCCTGAGAAGGCATAACTCAAATTGTTCATCCCTTCAAGGGAAGTAACGGTGCCCCACCTATTAGCTGCTTCCATAACTGCTGGCCACCAACTTCTGGCCTTAGTAGTGGCCAAACCTAAGTCGGCTCAGTGGCCGCAAATGGGGAAAAATTAGTGTTCGTTTCCGCAAATACTGGCATGAAGTCGATTTCTCTTCTTCGATCGAACGGAAATATTTGAAAATTCATATTTATATATTATTGAAACATTTTCACCTCCCTTCATTGTGTAATTCGAAGCAAATTTGTCTAGCAATCGGGAAGTCCTGATTTCGAATCCGAGAAAGAACACTGTCGAATTCTCTTGTTTTCTGCTCCGATAAATACCTAATTGTTCTACAAAGGATATGTCTTATTAAATTTTCCTTTATAATAGTATTTAAGTATGATTATTTAAATTAGGAAAAGTATATACTATCTAAATACCTATCTACAATTTTTGAAGCCAGGCAAGTACTGATTGAAAAATTTAAAAAACTAATCTACCGTCTAATTTACTGTAATTCTTTTCTATTTGATCCATCATTGGTAGAAACAGACATTTCTGCAAGAATGTAGTGCTACAGCGATAAATCTGTTGGGCTCTTACTGTTTATATGTTGATCTAATAATATGAAAACAAGCAGCATTTTGTCTGACTCTACAACTAACACACATATTTTTATGAATAATTCATCATAAAACATTATTTTCGTTTCTTCTATTTTCCATATAGGGAAATAAATATTTAAGAACGTTTTGCTTTACTTTTAACAACACATCCATTGGAAAAAACCAGCTGCGCCCACATTGTTATGGTTCTTATCCAATGCTCGTATTACACATAACTTTGATTCTGTCAACGCTCCTAATCATTGTGTTTGATTTTTCAGCGTACACAAATCTGGCTTTTGACAAGATAGAAACCAGCTATTAAACTATCACTAATTATGAAGAAATGTAACGTATTTTCTCCCTCTTTTACGCATGCCTCCGTGGTGTAATTGGAATCACTGGTGGTCGATAATTCGTCACCATCAGGATTTGGCGATTGGGTCCTATCATCCCTAGTCGCCCTTCAAAACGGCAAGTATTTCTTCCTCCTTTTCCGCATACCCTCGTAGAAAAATATGTAATCATCTTGTAAAAGGCATGTTTTGATCTAAAAAATGTTTATTCTTGCAAAAGCTGTATGTGGCGCTGATGTATTTTCTCAATAACGCCACCTGTACAACATCCTCAATACGCTGCTAGTGACTTTCGTTATCGAGACACTGTTCTGTACTGCTGTAAATGCATCATGTTGGAGATAAATGAATTCGAATGTAGATACATTTTTGGGGCTCGTATGGTGGTGCTTCCGTAACCAAGGTAGCAGAAGTGTTTGGCATTTCAAGTGACAATAGTATCTAAGATTTTTAACTCATACAGGAAAACTCGCATCAGTTAAATCACAGCATGAACAAAAATGAGTGTTGAGTGACCAGAACAGACGAACATTGAAGAGGATTGTGACAAAAAGTAAGAGGACTACAGCCGGAAAAAAACTGCTGAAATGAATGCCGCACTCGCAAACTCTGTCAGCAGTAAAACGATACGAAGGTAGCTCCAAGAGCAGAGTATTTTGGAGCGAGCTGCAATTCGAAAGACATTCATCAGTGCCTGTAAGACTCAAAATGGCTTTTAGAGAAAAAGGTGGTGCCGAAATCACAAAACCTGGACAGGGGAGGACTGTCATGTGGTCAGTTTCAGTTGCTTCCTATTGTTGCCGACTTCTGGGCGAGAGAGTTTACATATGGCGAACGCCGTCGCAAGCATATGATAGAGACTGTTTGCTGCCGAAAGTGAAACATTGTTGGGCTTCGGTCATGATTTGGTCGCCATATCGTGGTATTCAATGTGATCCATCTTTACTGTGCAAGATCAAATTACTGCCAAAGATTATATGACCATTTTGGGATAGCACGTCAATCCCATGGTACAAATTTTGTTCCCAAATCGTGATGCCGTATGATCGTGATTCCAAGACAATAAAGCTCCTGTTCACCCAGCTCACATCGTTCAGAACTGGTTTCTGAGAATGAGAGTGAGCTTTATATTTACCATGGCAACAGTTATTAGATATCAACGTTATTGAGAATTTATATAGGCTATTTTGGAGAGAAATCCGCTTGAGCGCTATCCACCGCCATCATCGTTAGTTGAACTTGCCAAAGTTTTGCAGGAAGAATGGTACAGGATTCCCTTGCAAAGCATAAAATACCTCTATTTAATCATTCCTAGAAAACTTTAAGCTGTTTTGAATGCCAGCCGTTTACCTACACCGTATTAGTGAGAGCAATGTGTTTTTATTTTGGAGTTTCTACATTTTTGTCTAATGCCTGTATTTTCTTTTTTGTTGGGAGAGAAAATTAGATATAAATTTTCTTTGGGCTTTGCTGCTATATTAGTACTAATGAGGGAAGCAGTGTTCTATGAGAATTCGAGAAATTCAGGAAAAAATGTTAGCTGTTATAAATTCAATCCTAGGATAATGAGAGATCTGATAAGTACAATACGATTACTATCATTGTTTGTCCAAAGTTACAATAAAATACTAGTAGTACTGAACGATTAATCAGTATTCAAATACGGTTTGTCGATGGCAAAATTTCCCAAAACTTCTGCGAGTATCCAATGGAAATTATTTCGTCTATCTCAAAGTGCTAGTTTAATCTTTTAAGTTATACAATGAATAAACGGAAACTGGAAGACAATTTATTTTAGTTTAAGAAGTGGAATCAAAATTTCAAATCTTAAAAAAAAATTAACATTAATTTTAATTATTTCTAAGAGAGATATACAATAATGAATTAATTACTTCCTTTTTAAAAATATTGCTCGTCATTGCTAGAAAGGAGATTAAATAAAAAAAAGGAATTACAAGCCTTTGATATTTTATCGACGTAATTACTTCCACAACATTTGTGAATAACAAACTAATAAAAAAAACTAATACCATTGCGACAAGAGCAAGGGGGGGAATATATAATATTCTAGATCACGCATCTCGGGAAAAAAGTGAGCGAGGGAACACAAAAAAAAGCTTTAAATATGCAGAGACCTTCAGAGATGAATAAGAAATAATGCATAAAAAATACCTCCACATAGCGGATTATGCAATGGAACGGTTGGATTGCTTTCCCACGAGTCGAAGAACGAACCACGTTGAGCAGTCCGCACAAGAATGCGTTTAGGAAGACCTATTTTTATAATCCTCGTCTTTGGTGAGTTTCTTTACCAACACAGAGTCGGGAAAAATGTTTACGTTTGCAAATAAATTTGTGAGCTTCATCGTGCCTTGGTCTTGCTTTGTTTAGAGTACAGGGAAACAGAGCTATTTAGTCACTCTATTTACATAGGCAGCCTATAGTATGTTTGATGGAAATTTGGAACGTGTATTGAAAACGTTGCTTTCGAATTTCCTATATGTGTTTTACGAATAAGACGTTTGTTACTTGTTTCAAACCCTTCTTGAATGTAGGTCTTTTTAAACGTAGATCCTAGTGGAGAAAATTTGAAAAAAGCTATATGTATATAACGATTAAGTTCTCTCTGAAAAATTCCTTGTTTAATTTATTTAGAGAAATATTTTTGAAATTCATAAACACTTTTTACTCACTCTTAAATGGCTATAGTAATAAAAAATTAAAATATATTTGATTTCGCTCTTGTTAAGTACATAACACAGATTTATCTATACGGCTGTTTGGCAATAAAAAATGAAGTCCCATAGGTTGGTTTAGGTTTTTTTTAGATTATAACTAAGCATACCAGGGCTATTTACGTATGTGGAGAGATGCCTTCATAGAGGACTTTCGAAGTAAAATTGAGTCGTATCCACGTAACATAATGGAAAATCCCCGCATCCAGTCAGCTCTTTCTTCTAGAATAGAACCTATGTCGAACTACTGGTGTTCGACTAACTACTGGTGTTAAATTTACCGCTCAGCTACTGGTGAGCGAAACATCATGAAAAACGATTAAAGAACTTCGAACTTGGGAAAGATAAATTTGTTTCTAGTTCATGTAAACAAGTTTATGTATTTATTTCAGCATAGTTACATTCTATGTAGTTTATGTAACTATATCAACACAGTTACATTCTATGTAGTTTAAGCAACTATTTCAGCATAGTTCAACTAGTTAGGAAGGAAGACAAGTGACCTTTTCGTCCTTCCTAACTAGTCGTGTAACGCTTCCTCGTTTTGTGATCCAG